CATGCACACACACCACACACATACATCATGCATGGACACACACCACACACATGCACACAAACACACCAAACACACACCACATACATCATGCATACATACCACACACATATCACACATGCATACATATCACACATGCTTACAAACACCATGCTACATACACACACCATGCTCACAACACACCGTCCATGCATATGCACACCAGACCACACACACACAACATAGTGTGCACATATACAAAACAAACACACATAGTGACTGTCAGATATGTTAATTTTCTTTATTCTATAGCTTAGCTGGTAACCATTGTACTTAATATAAACATCTCAATATATTGTAAACTAACTATACACAACAAAATGAATTAAAAATTAAAGCTGGGCATGCTGGTACACATCTGTAGTCCAGTTCTTTGGGAGGTGGAGGCAGGGGTATCATAAGTTTGAGACCAGCCTGGGAAACGAAGTGAGATCCTGTCTCAAAATAAATTAGAAAGGGCAGGGGATATATCTCAGTGCTAGAACAGTTGCTTAGCATGTACCAGTCCCGGGTTTCATCCTAGAACCAAAAACCATGATAAGTGAATTTGTAGCAATTTAAAATACCAAAGTAGATTGTTATGGTAACTACCCTTCAGCTAACAGACCTAGTCATCCAGTGACACTTTGTGGAAGACGCAAATGTACTTGGGTAGCCATGTGCTACCAAAGTAAGAATTCTAAAGCAGGAAACAGTCCTGTGCCACACCCTGGATGCAGGAGTCGCTGGCCATGGAGCACTGAGACCCTGCTTTGGCTGCAGCGCGGTTGTTGCCACCCTTTGAGCATCTTTGGGTCGAGTGTGTCGCGTATGCCCTGTCCTGGCATGTGCATCTTTCAGGCGCTCTCTGGTCGCTGAGCGGCACCAGATTGCCTACCCGGGAGGCAGCAGCAGCCTAGATGGTAAAGGCCATCTTGGTTTCCCTTGGCAGCAGTCAGGCAGTCTCCCCTCCTGTGCTAGCAATATGCTTCCCAAGGAAGGGCAGCCAGAGGAGGACACTGCCCAGCCCTTTCCCTGTGCGGAGCCCCAGTGCGGTGCGGATGGGCATCATGGCTTTGGTGCGCATGGCCATCTGCTTGCTGGGCTGGGCAGCTGCCAGCCGAGCTTTCTCTCTACGGCTGCCCCATCCTTATTCGGTGGCAGAGCTATCTTTTCCCCAAGATCTTGCTATAGAACTGTGGCTACTGCTTTCCTGATATGGCTTTACCAAGTTAATAAGCACAGATATGCAGATTCTTTATATGAGCTATTATCTTGAGGGTCTAGAAGGCAAGAGAAGCCAGATACTGGTAAACATGGATATTTGGTGGTAGAGCCTTCTCTCTGAATGCTTTCCTGTTAGGTAAGAAATCCTGTGGATGGCGACACCCCCGGGCTCAGGGTCCCCCCTCGATGTCCTGCTGAATGGCACCCTTCGTGCTGTGGCCCAAGCTCAGGGCCCCAGGGGAGACATCCCGCTCCTGTATCACTCACCACACAGAAATAGCTGTGGCGTCTTCCAGGTCTCCACGCCTGGCTCTGAGGCCCTGGCTTTGCCCTGAAGTGGTGCGCATGGCTCCTTCTTCTTCCAAAGTGTCGTCAACAGCAGGGTCTTGTCCTTTTCATCCTTTCTTTACACGACTCCCAAGCAGCACTTTGTGCGGAGCTGGGGATGAGTCTGTAGGCACTGGCTGTCCTGATGACAAGGGTGCTCTGTGGTGCTCAGCTCCAGGCTCCTGATGCTGTGCCGCACTCCGGAGAGGGCTCTGCCGGGCACTTGCACCAGCTCACCCACTCTCACACTCCACCTCTAACAACGCCCCGTGAATCTGATTCCAGGTGTGCCCAGTGTGAAACGAGAGGGGCCACATCCCACCCCAGTTCAAAGGCTGCTCCCTGGTTTAAGTTAGAAAAATGAAATTAAAGATGAAGAAAAAAGCCAGCCACCAAATTCATCTCAACTCAAGGGTTTTCATCAGAAATCAGCACTAACATGGAAGGCCTTTCACGTTAGGGCACACTGAAGTCTTGGTGTGAAAACGTTCACTCGCAGTTTTTCTATGTCACACTTCTGTGGAGAGGTAAATCCCATATATCACAGTTTGAGAAGCTTAATAAGTGCTGTGGGACAACAGCTGTTTGCAGGATAACATTCAAAATCTGAGGGCAGCTACCTGAAATTGAAGCCAGAAGTCCGTCTGAAGTCACTTTCTGGCCA